TTAAGGACACATGGTTTATGCCAGTTGCCACTGAACAGCAGAGGATTTGAACACAGGTCTTCCCTGCGAGAGCCAATATTCTGGATAACTCTTTAACCTACTCTGCCACAAATATTATTTTAACCCCTTCTGCCTCACAGTATTATTGCTTCAGCTCTTCAGACCTAATTTTGTATTAGTTTGCTAATGCAACCAGATGGTGCAATAATCTATTCTGCCTCCCTTGTGTGAGTTTCCTGGGCACACTGTGACGAAAAGGGAATAGACCAACTGCCTCCTAAAAAGTATGTTGAAAAAGGCTATTATTTAGAGCTGCTGATAGCCGTAACAATTTTGTAGCAGTGACATTTGTAACAATTTTGTCAAGAATAATGTTTGAATAACAACTACATTTTCTGTGTATGGGGTCACTTTCACTGTGAACATTTGCAACAATACAAACAGGCAGCTGGGTACATAATGGGGGCTTGGAAGCTTAGCTTAATTCTGCCTGTAATCATTCCTCTTGTGGGTTCTGATGCCCCCCCCCCCCTCAGGAAAAGGGGGGGGGGGCACACTAAACACATACCCCCACCATCATCAACAAGGATATCATAAAAAGCAACTAATTAGGGGTTTACTGAAGTCAGATATTACAGTACAGCTGTAAACTGCAATAAAATGCAACTATGCTACCTGTATTGGTGATGCCAAGCTATATTTGTTGGCACCTCTCCATCATTAAAGAGAATGTTATATCGTGCTCTAAGGAGGCATGGGAATCACAAACCGACAATATGTGAATACACAACCTCTACTATCCAAGCACGGACAGAATTTTGGGAAAGGCCTCACAGAAAAAGCTAGGCCAAAATGCGAAGCGATTTGGGTCTGTAACTGTATCACTTTCCATTCATGTCATATGCTGATGAAAGAATTTTAGCTGCTACATTGATTTATCCTTTATGATTATGGTTTTGTGAAGCTGAATATTTCTGCTTCTTACTGATAGTTTTAAAATAACAGTTTGTACAATTTTATTTTGCTTGAGTACCTCTGAAAGGCTCTAACTGCTTTTCTGTTAATGAAATTTTAAATGATGCAGTTATAGATACAACATAAGTACACACTCATCAATGGACAACCAACAAAGACTTTTAAACAAGTTAACATTTGAATCGTACACTTTAAGCCATGAAAAACATTACAAATGAAAGGCTCTAACTGCTTTTCTGTTAATGAAATTTTAAATGATGCAGTTATAGATACAACATAAGTACACACTCATCAATGGACAACCAACAAAGACTTTTAAACAAGTTAACATTTGAATCGTACACTTTAAGCCATGAAAAACATTACAAATTAAATTATATGGCACACATATTCATAATACTTAAACGACACGTACCAACAGAGAATTATCAAACATAACACATTCAGTGTCAACCAGCTCACCGTACCTTTGTTAGATTCAGCTATCAAACCTCCTTTCCTGAACTCTTTGCCACCCATCCAGTTGTTACACTTACGCAGTGTCCTAATTCTTACTTAAACTCATCCGGTTCTATAATGTGTTATCTAAAACAATTCCAACTCAAGTGCTGGTTACTCAAGTAGTGTTAGAACTAGTTACATAGCGAGGTCACCAAATAAATTCCTCACAATTCCTTTTTTGCAACAAAATATAAAATTCCATAAGCATAAGGGAAGTAATCAGTAAACATGGATGCAGAAGAGAATTAACTAATATCAACAACAACAAAATACAATTCCTCACTATTAATCCCATGACCTGGTTGCTGGGCTACCACAGTGATTACTTAGAATTTCTGATGTATTTTTTTTTTAAATCAAATCTTTTATATATATATATATATATATATATATATATATATATATATATATATATATATATATATATATATATATATATATATATATATATATATATATATATATATATATATATATATATATATATATATATATATATATATATATATATAAAATCATCATCATATATATATAAATGCTATTTTAGCAAATACAGTCATTCCCAGTGCCCCTGAACATTTGTCACGATGCAAATGATACTAATGCTGTTAGTTATTCTTCTTGTGAACAAGCAAATATAGCAATGTGGGTAAAGTGACATTCAAGGGTGCATTTTACAAACTGGAAATGTTGGGGTGAAAGAGTTAAAGTCATATGTTAACCCTGTTCTAGCTTCTTGATTAATTCTTATATCTATTGACTTCATAATCAATAATTTGATAATGTTATGTGTGAGTGAGCCTTTTCAAATTAGATTTTACTGCAACATTAAAAGATCAACATTATGCCACAAACAAGTTAAGAAATACTGGCAAACTACTGAATTTAGTAACAGCGGCAGCTGAATTTAAACAAAACACTTCTCAGACACAGCTACAATATCTAGTAAATAAAATTATCTGCAAATAAGAATTAGTGAATTTTAATAACATAAGCAACTAAATTTACTCAAACAGCTTTTAGCTATAAATCTACTAAATACAAACATCTACAGACAAGATCTTATTAATTTAGTAATTAAAAGAAACTGAAATTATTCAAAGAATTTAACAAATTCAGCTACAAGATCTACTGAATTTAGTAACAAAAGCACTTGTTGAAAGAAATCAACAAAATCAGGTGTGAGATCTACTAACCTCATTCAAAAGATTATATGACCATGTACCATTCAACTAACTACACCATTTAAAAGAAACTATATTTTCTCACCAATTACACACATGTGCTACTTTATCACACTGCACCGGTTAACTACATACAAAAGAAATGAACAGAATAAAGAGACACATAATATCAGAGATGCACAGAATAAATAAAGGGCATGAACAAATACTTTCACGAGGTTACAAACACCATCATTAAAAAAAATATTACACCACAAACCTTAACTTTCTAAGCATTACAAACCTCCTGGTGGAAAAAAAAAAACACTTGCTGCAGTGATGATCCCATGCTCAACAAGCAGCCCCATTAAAAATTATGGCAATTAAAAAAAAGTAACTCTGTTTACACATAATTAAAGCAGAGTGCAAATATGGTTTATCTCCTCGGGACCCAGTGGCAGATGAGAAGTGATGAGGATAGTACTAATCGACTGATCCGTGTGTCCCCTCCAGTATGCAACCTAAAGGTTTACTACACTATTCTGAGTTGAAAAATTGCTATCAACTGTGGATGGCAGATCCAAGATATCTCGTTTAAGTTAAGGAAGATGTTATAATGAGAGCACCTGTAATGGCTACACCAGCAAGGTGTGATCTGGCATCCTATGTGGGTAAGAACGACGCGTTAGAGAATGTTGAATTAAGAATCAACATAATAGCATTTGGGACACTCCTATAAGCACTCTATCCCTATCTTAAGCAGCAAGTGAAGAGTACCAATTCTGTGGTACCAGTAACTGACTGGTGACGTGTTAGAGGACAGTATGAAATCAGTCACCTTTACTGCTCCAGGAAACTGCTGCACACTCATTTTACGTGGCTGGGTGGACCCCACAACAGCACTAAACAGGAAGACAATTTGTTTATCACAGTGTGGGAGCTGTGGTCGAAGCAAGCTCCAGTCAATTTGGTGGAAAAGACAGCTTTTTGTTTTTCTGACAATAGTTAAGTGTTGTATTTTCCTCCATAAGTATACTAAAAGGATATAGTTCTGTCGACAAGCTACTGATATGAGCGTGGATTTCATATGAAATGCTTTTCAGTGGTGCCCAACATGGTTTGTGTTGTGAACTACAGATTCCGAAAATGGCAAGTGGCCTGCTGCCAGAGAACTGGTGGTGCCTTATTCAATTAACTGAGGGTGCGATGACCCATCTGATTTAACAACTGCTTCCAGCGCTGATGAACTGCATTTCTAGTGCAGGACTATTTGTGTTGGTACTTCTGACAGCTGCCTTTAGCATTTCATGGGTACGTATATTACTATGCTGAGACTGCAGTCTGTGTTGATTTTTTCCTCACAAGGAACAGTGATGGACATTCTGTGTGATTTTTAATGACACAGGAACGGGGCAACTATGGGGTGACCCATTTACTATGAAGTTGGAACTACTATTACCTGATTAACTGTGGCAGAAGATGTGGTAACACACTGGTTAATGTACCTGCTAACAAAGGCATAAATTATCAAATGAGATTCCTACTTCTCAGAAAATGGGTCATTCTATAATTGCCAACTATGTGAAAAGTTAAACAGACATTTCCTATGTGAACAGTTAAACAGACGCTTCTAATGTGAAAAGTTAGACAGACAGCAGTCCCAGCAAAATTACCAACATAAATATATAATACAATAAGGCAGTCGCCAGAGATGCAAACACCAACAGTTACACATTCATTACTGCACAAGGCTAGCCAAAGCAGTGGTGTGGGTGCAATGACCAGCACCGGCAGAGTTCACTTTTCTTACAAATACAACTCTGGGGTCCACCCAGCCATGTAATCTGAGTGCCAGACAATTTTAAGAATCTTCTGTAACTGTCTAGGGAGGAAAGGCAGTGAACTGGTCACCTCATCTTATTAACGCAGTGGCCCAGAATAGGTTAAGGCAAAAAACTTCACACATATTTTTACTACTACTGGGGACCAAACCTGAACCATGACTTCAACAAGCTAGTAAATCTAGTCACAGAAAATAGCTTAGCTCTGTAGTAACGGTGATGAATGAAATCAAATGATAAAATAATGATGTTGCAGGAAAATAATAAGTACAGAAAGCATTGATGCCCTAACAAGCCTCCTGTATAAAAACAAAACATACAATTTATTAACATATTTAATTATATATGTTTCTTATTAATAGAGAATTCATTTGAACGTTTTTTGATGGTTAGCATATTTTTAAAAAACTGGACACCTGACATACTACCACCCACAAATATTATATCTTTTTTTCACATATGATGTTTCTGTAAAAGCTCCGGTTCAACGCTCTCTTTCCAGCATCTAATAATCCGAGTTCTACAAGATTGGCCGTTCTATAACAGTAACACCAGCGTATGAGCGTCCGGTCATCATGCTGGACAGTAGTAATGTCCACTTGTTGGTGGCTGGGTCGTAGACTTCAACAGATCCAAGGTTTGAGGAGCCATCATCTCCACCAACTACATACAACTTGTTACCATTTGCAACAACTCCTGAAATAAAGACAGGAGAAACATTATCCCAATATAAGATAGGAGAGATATTATTGTTATATAACATGAACTTCCCCGTGTGGGTTCCTGGGCCCTATTATAGGCAAAACAAGAACAGACCCACTGCCTTCACAAAAAAGCATGTTGTAAGAGTCGACTAATTGGGAGCTTCCTTTGAAGTCGGAGTGCATCTGCCTGAGAGGGAAAGAACCAGCAGTCTGCATACAAATGAGTCAGATCTTTAAAACGGATGCACATGCAACACTCAGGTTCTGGAACAGGACTGCAGTCCAGAAGTGGATAAACAACCAGAACTTTCCGCTAGAGTTTACAGTTGGTGAATGCAAAGAAGAAGAACAGAACTTTTAACTTTTAACAGAAATACTGTTCTTGTTTATATGACAGAAAAAAAAAACCCATTTTTAAAAAAAAATTACATTGAGGAGGGGTAGGGGGGAAGGAATTTATGAGAAATCATTTTTATAAACTACAATAAACCTGTTCCTATACACATCTAGGGAAAACAATCCTACATGACATGAGAAACACAAACATAGACAGGAGAAAATTTATTTACACATAAAATAGCATGAAAAACATTCATTTTAGATGAAAAAAAGAATTAACCATATGTTAGCATGAGAGATTGTAATATAAAAATATTGCAAAAATAAAGATTACAGTTTGTATGTATGTACGTAAGTTGTACCCCACCAGGACATCACACAAGCGATAAACACCCGGTCACACAAAGTGCCACCATGCGGATGAGTATCACCCCTGGAGAGGTCATGGAAACCGCGTTCAGCTGTTAGGCCATATTTCAGGCCCCTGGCAAAAGCCAAGGTGGGGCTTCAAGATAACTAAAAATTGCATCCCACAAGAGGATGACAGTTCTAGATTGTGCTGGACTGATGAACTTACAGTTTGTAAACAACGTGACTAACCATACATTTTTCATAATCAGAAATTATTGCAGTGTAAAATTCACGCATAATAGTTTGCAACAACAACAACAAAAAGAAAAGAAACTGAATGATAGTATGGGTAGTGTATGTGAAAGATACAACTCTCTTACCAGCATTTCTTCTGCTCATATGCATGTCAGCAACAGCCATCCAAGTATTCGTCTCCGGGTTGTAAACTTCCACACTCTTCCTCACCAAGGGACCATCATGTCCACCGACAGCATACAAAAATCCATCAACAACACCAACACCTGGAGTAAATACAGAAAACATTTTGTACACAATGTTACCAGGAGCAACCATGATGGTGCTGAGGTTGGAGCATTCTGATTCTTCATCTTGTGTATCTGCCCTTAATAAAAAGCCTGTATTGTAATTTGATATTTGTGCCTTTGAGACCCTCATATCTGATTTCCGCAAAACCTCAGAAAAACGTTTATCATATGCTTGTTAGGGGACTGTAGGCTCCCCTGCCCCTCCCCCAAATGAGCCTCAGAACTCAGAGAGGTTGAAGCATTCTCTCTTCTTCTGGGCATTCACAGGCTGTAAACTGTACAAGGAAAGTTCTGGTTGTTCATCCACTCCCAGACTTTGGTCTTGTTCCAGGACTTGAGTTGTGTATTTGCATCTGACTTACACAACTGGCTTATCTGTATCTAAACACTTTGTTCCTTGCCTCTTAGGCAGATGCACTCAAGACTCTGAAGGAAAGATTCCTAATTAGTCACCTCACATGCTTGTGGGGGAGGGGGGGGGGGGGAGAGAGAGGTCTATTCTTCGTTCTCCAAAATGGAGCCCTGGAACTGACACAGGGATAAGGAAGAAACATTCAATTGCCTAGGTAACCATGATAATTCAGTGACCAGAGGCTTGCCTGCCACCCCGAAAGTTTTGTTTAAATCCAAATTGGGGGCATTTTAAAAAAATGACAAGCGCTACCTCAAAATTGGCATTTCACAGATAACAAGGGCAAACTATAAGTATTTTTCCCAGTGATGGCTCTGAGGCCCCTCCCTAGCAACCATGTCAAAAAAACTATTAATTAGGGGTGTTTCTTCTGAAGCTGGAGTGCATATGTCTGATAGGTGAGGAACCAACAGTTCAGCCTAAAGTCCAGTAGCGGACAAACAACCAGAACTTTCTGCCTGTGTTTACAGCTGATGAATGCAAAGGAGAAGTATTCTCTACCATACTTTACTATTCTTCTTCATCTGCATTCACTCTTAAAAAGGTGACTGGCACACTGTGTTGTAGTTTACAAATAGGGTGCCTTATCTGCTCTTTTCAGCCCAACAAATCCAATTTAAGCAAACTCTTAAATAGTTACCACTGCAATATAAATCCCCTAATTAGCTATCTTTATGACATGCTTGTTCAAGGTCACTGAGCCTTCTCTAACACCCCCCCCCCCCACCGTTATGAGTGTGTATATAATACACTGTATAAAATACAAGGCTAATGACGACCTTTTTGTTTTAAAGAGGTGTCTAGCTTGTCATGTGTCTCAGTACACTTGTCCTACAGCTAAGCTCTGTCATCATTTAGAGGTGACAGGTTCACCACTACTTGTGATTTGTAATGTTCTCTAGTGTGTACTTCAATCGTTCTAATTATTTTTGTTAGTGCAAAAAATATACATATATTTGCTAGTCATAGTTTAGTAAAAACAGTTGGAGTTACACAACCTTTTCTGTCTCTTTTGTCACTAAATATAGCAGCAAACCACATATCTACAATGTCCCTTAATTTGGTTATTGTTTTTCCGTGTTGGGTTCCTAGTTGAAGGTTTGACACCACTGTGACTCGAGACAAATCCTAGATTCCAATCTAACAGGATAAATCACATTTACGGGGGAACTAGCCCCAGCCAGAAGTGTCGGTTCTTAGGGCGGCAGGGTTAAAGAACCATCATGGGGATCAAATACTACTATGGTGTACTCTGCAGTCTGGTATAGATTAACTGAAAAAAGACTGAATCACTCTCATCCTTATCTTCAACTGCCTTGTTGAGTGGTGTGGGCGATCAAATATCGCTCAAGAATGCAGTGACCAAAAAATTATTTTTAAAAAAAAACAGACACTATTTGCAAAAAGTGTGTGATGATAACAGGTGATAATGATATAATAATACTAATATACACATGATATTTTAAAGAAAGATTGGCAACACACATAACATCACAGAGGGCAATGTTATACAGAGACAGCGGTAACAAAGCCAGAGGTCAACCACTCAAAATATAGATAGCAGAAATACTGAAAAGTACTACATATGAAGCCATTCCATAGATCTCTACCTTACCTGAAGCTATGAGACGTTCAAGGAGTAGAGGAAAGAAGATTTCCAAGGAAGCAGAAGCATACCTGCACCACTTCTTCTACAGGACATCTCCGAGACTGTAACCCAGATGTCACACAAGGGGTTGTAACATTCCACAGAGCTCAAGCACTGCCGAGAGGCACCATCATAGCCACCCACAGCGTACAACAAACCTGCAAGACATTTGGCATGTGTGAAACATTGGTCAAGGAGAAACCACAGGCAAATAGGTCAAATATTAGTTCAGGTCATCACCAACAGATGTGCACACATTCTCAAATTTCCTCTGCAGTTCACTTATTAGTGTACTGTTCAGATTTCCCCCCCTTCCGCCTTCAGCATTCCGAGGCTTTGAAGTTAACTGCTGCAGATATCATGCACCTCTATTCCTCTCTCAAAGTGTGCGTAAGTCTGCCTGTATATTACCTCTCTGTCTTCTTGGTCTGCCACATTGTCTCTCTCATTGAAGACTTTTGTGTACACAGTTTTTAATCTCTTTGTTGTCTGTCATTCTCTCTATGTGCCTACACCATTGCAGTCTATTAGATCTCATTATATCAGTAATTAGATAGTGATGTAAACAGATTATGAATTTTGTTGTTGCTTCTGATTCTCTTTTTCACTGATGTTTGCACCTCCGATGGATCCAAAGATTGGCTGTAAGTCTGCTCTCAAACGTTTTTAATAAGGCTGCATCTCTGTTAGTTGTGTTCTATATATATATACAGTTAAGATTATCACTAGTGAATGTACATAAATTCTTTTTCTTCATTCTTCATGTTCACCGGCTGTAAACTCCAGCAGAAAGTTCTGGTTGTTCGTCTATCTCTGGACTTTAGTTTGGTTCTAGAACCTGAGTGTTGCACACACATCCATTTTACAGATCTGACTTTTTTGTTTGCAGACTGTTGGTTCCTTGCCTCTCAGGCAGATGCACCTCGACTTTGAAGGAAGCCCCAAATAAGTTGACTCTTACGACATACTTGCTGGAGAGGCTGTGGGTCTATTCTAGTTTCCCTCACAAAGAGGCCCCAGATCCCTATAAATTATCCTCTTTAGTAATCAATTATGAACAGTTAAGATAATCACTATTACGAAAACAACATTATAACAACAGAGATTATATATCTTAGGAGAGCTACAGGAATAACAAGAAGAGATACAATTTAAAATAAAGAAATCAGAAGATGACATGGACTAAAACTAGTTTTATACTTCCTTAAAGAATAAAAGATGAGACAAGAAGGCTATGGTACCAACTGACACACAAAAATCATGCTGAAAAAATATAATGAACAAAAAGCCAAGGAAAGACCATGCAAAAGATGGGATAATAGCATAAAGAACAATCTTAGAGAAATTAGGAATCACTTACATTAGGCATCAGAGAGAGGGAGAGAACAGAATATCCTTACATTTCACTCAAACATTTCAATGTGGTAATTGGAGGAAGACAAGATGATGAAATAACACTCACCACCAACAACTCCAACTCCCACGCTGCTCCTACGTGTGCTCATATTTGCTACAGTTTTCCACTGCCCGGTCCTCACATCAAAATACTCAGCTGAATCGAGACCTGTGGAAGCAAATGAGTGCAGGTTAAAATCTGCGTTAAAAAAAATAATATATATCTAATAGGTAAATGGCATGTAATAATCTGGTGCACTGATGTGAGATGTTCATCACCATCACTATGTGCCTTCAACATATATTCACATGAAGCTTCCTGTGTGGGTTCCATTGTGGGCAAAGACAGAACAGACCCCACTGCTCTCTAAGAAGCATGTTGTCAAAGGTAACTAACTAGGAGTGCTCCCTTTGAAGCCAGAATGCATCTGCTTGAGAGGCGAGGAACCAACAGACTGCATACAAATAAGCCAGATCTGTTAAATGGATGTGCATGCAAAACTGAAGTTCTAGAAGAATAACAGTCCTAAAGTTGACTAACAACCAGAACTTTACTTAGTTGTTATTTTTTTCCCCAAGCTGTCGACAGCTCAAAATGAGTACCAGGCAATGTCCTGGGAATTAAAGGTGACCTTCTGATATTGACAAGATAACTTTTTGAATGCCAACAGGTCTATATAAATGTGACTCTAGCATCAAATTAACAATGCACTTTTGGCAAGGCTGAATTCCAAACCCAGGTCAGTTTACAACATTTGCCAAGCTGTTGATTCAAACACATCTTCTTCTTCTTCTCAGTGTTCCCTGGCTGTAAACTCTGGTGAAAAGTTCTAGTTGTTTGTCCATTTCTAGACTTTGGTATTGTTCCAGAATATGATTTTTGCATGCACATCCGTTTTATAGTTCTGGCTTATTTTTAAGCAGACTTGGTCCCGCACCTTTTAGGCAGATGCATTCCGACTTCGAAGGAACACCCTTAATTAGTTGCCATTTACAGCAAGCTTGTTAGGTTGGCAGTTGTCCCCCCCCCCCTCCCCTCCCACAACAAACAGGGCCCCAGAACCCACACAGGAAGTACTCAAGCTCATCACCACTAGGCTGAGGAGCCGACTAATCAGCGCTGTTGGTGATGTGGTCAACATTACACCACCCATCTTTACTTTCCAGGACTGGTACACATTTTAGGCTGCGCTGGTCTGAAAGCCAAGGCCAATTTAGAAAACATTTGTCTGGATGTAGATTTAAACCCATTAACTTCAGGCCAACAGGCCAGCATTACCCCCTACGCTACCACTTCCAATATTGTTATGCAACTGTTATTAAAACTAACACAAAATCATCATCTCTGTGAAACCTACCAAACAGCTCAACACACACAAATTACCTGCAGCTCCATCAAAGCCACCAACTGCATATATATGTCCACCCAGCACTGCAACACCCAGAGTACTTCGCCTGGCCTCCATACTGGGACAAGAATTCCATGTATCTTTCAGGGGGTCATAAACATCAATACTCCTGACCCTCAGGGAGCCATTGAAACCTCCAACAGCATACACCAGCCCATTCAACACTGCCACACCTGCAGCAGGACAAGACCAAGTGTGTCATTTTGCTTTCTGTTCGAGCTAAGGTCAATATCCAACCGATAAATACATGTAATATTTAAAGCACAAAAGGCTATAAAAAAAGACCCAGTGCTCCTTATCAAAGCATGTCATCAAAGACAACTAACTAGGAGTGCTTCCTAGGGTCGATATCCAACTAATATGTGTAATCTTGAAAGCACAAAAGGCAGGTATACACAGTTTTAGAGAGCCTTGGGGCATTTTTAACAAGGGAGTTAACTCTAAGAGAATGGGCTTCAGGAAAAAAGTGGAGGGAAAGTGGGCTGAAGGACTACACGATATGGAAACTGACAACAGAAGATCTAGAAAAAAGTCTACGAGTAAACCATTAAGACAGAGATCAAAGCATACTGGAGACATTACAGACAAACTAGAAAAAAATTTATGAGTACACCATTTAGACAGAGATCAAAGAGTACTGGAGACATTACAGACAAACTAGAAAAAATCTATGAGTACACCATTAAGACAGAGATCAAAGAGTACTGGAGACATTACAAACTAGAAAAAATCTATGAGTACACCATTTGGACAGAGATCAAAGAGTACTGGAGACATAACAGGCAAACTAGAAAAAAATCTATGAGTACACCATTTAGACAGAGATCAAAGAGTACTGGAGACATTACAGACAAACTAGAAGAAATCTATGAGTACAACATTAAGACAGAGATCAAAGAGTACTGGAGACATTACAGACAATCTTCAACATGCAGATGGTATGACCTCCACTAGTTCTCAAGCTTAGATTTCTTTTAGCATCTCTTTCATGCACAAACGTACGCATGCATGCACATATTACCAGATTCAGGATTCTCAAACCTGCATGCCTAGGCCAGATCTCTAATTTCCTGCTACACTGTTTCACTATAGCTCTTGTAAATTCCTGGTGTAACTGTTTTTACTTGAAATAAAATTTTAAAAACTGTGTATTTGGCACATAGGTCTACATCAATATTTTATAGACCAATCGGAAATCGGTGGATCATGTGGTCAACGTCATGCCAGACATGTTTACCTGGTACCCATTTAAGGTTAAGTCGACCTGGAAGCCAAGATCATTTTTAACCCTCTTAGCACGGACGGGCCGATTATCGGCCGGCGGATGTCTGGCCAAAAACACGGAACGGCCGATCACGTTTCGCCTCGAACCGCTAAGAAATCTCCTATTTTGAAACACTGAAAGTGATTTATTCATATTCACTGCTGTATTAGCTTTACACATGGCGACTTTCTAGTGTTTGGTATCGAAGTGAAAATTGTTGTTGAATTTTTTAGATAGTGACATGAACCGCTAAAAGTATGTCTGACTCGTATGTTTCTGCCCCTAAACTTAATGTTGATAAAACATTTTAATCAAGTGATGACACTAATTCTGTTGATACTAATGCAGGATCTAGTGTTAGTAGTAATAGTGGGGAATCAGATGGGGACGGTGTTATGTTCAGACGACAGCCCAACCATGGCTCAGGGTATATCCACCTGAAAGTGTTGACACTCCGGCACATCCATTTCTAGTGCTGACTGATGGTCAAAAACACAGATCACCTAAAGATATTATTGCTGTTTCATATTTATATACCTGTTTTTGACTATTGAATTGCTTACAACATTTGTAAAAAGGCCAAAGATCAATAAAAATATTTCAAATAAAATATATTTTTTTTTTTTTTAGTTATATGTTTCATGCACTGAAGTTGAAAATTTACATTCTAATTTTCTATTTTTAGATATGCAAATGAGATAATTTGCATATACATCAATTAATTTTAACGATATTGTGAAAATCATGAACTTCAATCTATATCCTTCAAATAGATATGTTATTTCATGGGGGTCAGAATAACAGAAATGTGTCAAAAAAATTAAATAAAGTAATAACCAAATTTACTGAAAAAATGCTCCGTGTTTTTGGCTAGACATCTGAAAAACTTCCCGTGCTAAAAGGGTTAAAATGTCTGGCTTCATCAGGACCTAAACCCAACACTTTCAGATCCACAGGCAAGTGTATAGCCCCTATACCACAGTGCTCATATAAGACACAAGAAACTAAAAATTAAATAAAATTCTTCAAAGTTGAAGTGCACCTGCCTGATAGGCTAGAAACCAACAGTATGCATACAAAATAAGCCAGATCTGTAAAACAGATCTGCATGCAAAACTAAAATTCTGGAACAAAACTAAAAGTACAGAAGTGGACAAAATGAACAACAAGAACTTCCTCGGAGTTTACAGTTGGTGAACGCTAAGAAGAATTAAAACAAAAACATGCAACAAAATGTGAAAAACAAAAGTAGCACTTACCACATCGACAACGCCTGGATGGCATTTCTGCCAGCTGGTACCACCTCTCTTCCTGAAAGTCGTAACATTCCACACTACGGATAGCTTTGGGGGCCTGCCCACCAATCACCAGCAACACCTGTAAGTTACCAGATGACTTCTATCAGATAATTATAGTCAGTTCCAGACATCATAGCCAAAATGATGACTGATTTGAGAATCAACATCATAGCACACCGGGCAAACCCATAGACACTCCGTGCTCCGCAGCAAATGACGTAAGGTGTAGATGCTAACTGTTACTGTAGCTCTTCCTCTCATCAGCTCATCCTTGCCAGATCCACACTTAATTCCTCGTAAATATGTAACTCAGTAATTGGTCAATGTAAGTTAATAAAATCTGGCATGCAGCCTATTTGATAATCATGACCTTCTGAGAAATTTCATTTTGCCTTATTTGTGATGTAAGAAAAAAAAAGACTCTGATTCAAAGCAAACAGTCAGCATCCTCACAGTTAACTGAGTAACGGGAACTGTTCAAAACATCAAACTGTACATGTTTCACTCTCAGGTGGTTATCTACAGCATTAGTGGCTTGTGAGTTGTTGATTTTCATTGTATGCTGGATAGGCTTTCAAAATAACCATCACTCACTGCTACACATGTCAAATGATTTCCAAACAATTTCCAGGCGTGCGTCATTAATTACTGTCTATTCTTTTTTTTAATGGGTACACAAATTATTAGTCAAACAAAGATCAAAGAAATTCTCCGCTTTAAGAAAATAGCAGCTCCTGTGCAATTGTAAATTATAAAATCATAAGGCTATATGCAACAATTTGTGTTGATCTGTACAGGAGTTTTCGAGATATTTGTTAAAGTGTGAGGGTAAGAATTTTGAAACACATTACAAGTGTACAATTTTACTAATGAAATACTTGAACAAGAGCTAAAAAAACACAGTTAACCCATTCTTCTCCCCTTTATCCCTCAATGAAGCATAGGCCCTCAACCAACTGACGCCAACTCACTCTATCCATTGCAATTGCAATTAGCCAATCCCATGTCGTCCCTATATATTTTCGACCCCACTCACCAGTACTCTTCTCTATGTGTGCATGTTTTTCCTATGACTTTATTTCATTGTCCCTGTGGATTCCACTGTAAAAGCATTCTAATTATATTGTGCTCAGGTTTTCTCATTGTGCATCCTATATAATGCCAGCGTGTTTTCTTCACCTTTTGACTCACCAGAATTTGTTTAGTTCTCTCCAAAAGCTCAACATAAGTGATTCCATCATATCATTTAGTTCTCTCTATTCTGCACAGTCACTAGTTAATGAATGCTTATAGTTTATCAGTAACTGTTTTAGCTGAACTAATGCATACCTTAGGTAATCCAATCGGATTTCTGGGTTGAGTACGTGGTGTTTTATACAAAGGCTTCTGGTCAGTCTTCAGTAAATGGTATTTCATAGCCTCTATCAAGTAATCTTTGCACCTGAAACATCAGGAAAAAACCTTTTTATAACAATCTTCTGTCTTCATTTTTCAATGTAGAATAGGCCCTCAACAAACTCAACTACAAGCCCTTTGCAAACTTATTTATTGGATTCTGTAACTATGATAATGTAATAAGATCTAACGGCCTCTCAAAAACAATACTGCAGAGCTCAGTAGAGGGAAAGAGACAGACCAAGAAAGACCTGGTTACAGAACCTGACCAACTGGACAGGCCTCAGGCATGCAACCATGAAGTTCAATGCAACTGACCACCAAAGACGGAGAGAACTGATCAGACAGTCAACAGAAACTGGTGACCCAACAACACGTAGTGTTACGGGATGATGATGAACTATGATATATGGTAGCCAACAGTCTACATAAACCATCCTTTGTTGTCTCTGAATGTGAGGTACATTAATTCAGTGATTGCTTTCACTGCTGCCCATAAGCACCCTGGTACGCATATTTAGTTGGCCAGGGGGGAAACCACAACATTAACCTCATAGGAATAAGTCAATAGGTAATCAAAAAGTAAAAATTAAGATGGATTAAACAAATGACATTTAACAACACTATACGACCTCCAGTCACACCACTGTGAACAGTCTGTCATAGAAGTCATGCGGTTTTGAATTTTTTTAGACTGGCAATGCATCACAATACAGGACCTTCATTTACTTATGAATTTGTGTAGGTTTCACCACTTCATTAATCAAAAAATGGGTAAAAAAATGCTGCTCCTCTTTAGCATATATCAAAAGTGGGGCAATCACCTTTAAATTATCATTATGATGTCATCGTGTTCATATGCACGATGGTACCATGTGCTTAACACTCTCGACATCCTTAACAACAATACTGACATATATATATATAGACAGCCGCTGTGGATTCAAAGGTTGTGGGTTCGGGTCCTGGCGAAGCTGGACTTTTTCAAAAATTACATCGGCTCTCATGTCGACCCAGCCTTGACCGGGTACCAGGTACAGTCTTGGGAAGCATAGCCGGCTGGTGTGGTGCTGACAATATCACCCACCCAGTGCCGACTGGTCTATAAAATATAAAGTCCTACATGGCCGAAGGCATGGAAAAGGGTACTTGACTTTATATATATATATACACACACACACAAGGAATAACAATGACCAGTGCCACCCATCGGGTGCTGGATAACTTCTTCCCCAAGATGCTTGATGGTAGAAGTGGAAATGAATGAAATGTCACCTGAGCGGTCATACACACCTGGAGTTTGCCTTGACAAGTGGTTCTTCTTCCACTCGCTGTACAATATAGTCTTGATTCATAAGTGGCAGGCGGACATTTTCTAATAACTGTTCAATACAATCTTGTCTGGAGGCTAAATTATGGTGCAGCCAGGACATCACAGCTTCATAAACCTGCCCAAAAAGTTAGTTTTGTATCAAAATCTGCATCTAGGATTAGTTTTTCTTTTTATACAAAATTAATAACTGGTTATAAACAAGGATTGAGATAAGGTTAATGACTGTTTTGTCTGCAGGCTAAATTATAATGCAGCTTCATAAACCTGCCAAATAAGTTAGTTTTGTACCAAAATCTGCCTCTAGGATTAGTTGTTCTTTATACACAAAGTTAATAACTGGTTGTAAACAAGGACTGAGGTAAGAAGGTTAATGACTGTTTGTACAAAAGATTTGGGATAAAGTAAATCACTGTTTGCACACAAAGCTTGAGAAAAGTTCATCATTGTTTGAACACAAGGCTTCTGATAATGTTAATAAAGCCCGGGATAAGGTTATTCACTGTACACAAGACCTGGCATAAGTTAATTCACTGTTTGAACACAAATATATCAGTAAAGTAAAATACTTTCTATACACTCATCACCACCAGCAAGTATTTTGCTTTACTTCCCATTACTGTATAACAAACAAACAGACAATGTACTGATATGCATTTCTTTCTATGAGTGCTGATCATCAGAATGTCTGTCTGTTTATACATATATAATTTTCTATGGCCGCAGGGGTTCCCAATCTATTTATTCACCTTTACTACAGACATTTTAGACTGGGTTGATCTGGTAGCCACAGGACAATGTTAAAAATCCATCAATACTGAGGATTCAAATCCACGACCTCAAGGGGCTTTTAGACAAGAAGGTAGAAACCTCAGCTGTACATGCATTCTCAAAGTTCATTTGCTGACCATTAAATTCAAATTCCATACTAGTTGCAGTGACATAATTGATCTTCTGCCGGCTTATGGAAGACAGTGCTGCAGGTTCAATCCTCAGCAGTGACAGAATTCTGTTTTCCAATCGGTAGATCTCAATTTGGCTTAGTTTCATGAATTTGGTAATGGATTATTTTCAGTAAAATTAGGAAAGTACAGAAGCAAGGAAGGGAACTGACCCAAGAAAATGACTAATGGGGGTTGGCAAGAAACTGCACACCTCATCCGGGTCACTTCACATATAAAACCAGCATGGACACTTTCAGTACCAGTTATTACTTCAATAGTTTCTAACTCAGAGTTTACAGCAACAGTCACTCATTCTCAGGAGAATTTAAACGGTAGACTACGAATGAGCTGAATTTGTAGAAAAAAAACACAACAGAAGAATGGGACAGAAAAAGTTAGCCAATCTATATAACATATAGAGTAATCGATAAACAAATGGTGAGCTACCCAGTACTGAAAGAGTTAATTCAAGTCACATCTGCTCTAAGAATGATGTCAAAAGTTGGATGGTACCTGTTCCTCTGAGGTCACGGTCAGCCTATCACTTGAGATCAGTCTGCACACTGCCTCCACATTTAAAGAAAGGAACTCATCATAATGCACCACTTCTCTGAAATGTCAAAATATGATTTTCAATCTAGGTAACAAAAAGAAGCTTTCATCATATATGTTATCCAGGCTATCCTCCGACTAAGATGGCGGCATCAAAATATCCAGCCAAGCCGCAGTCACATGTCAATTGCGCGCTTCCGGCTACTTAATGTGCGCTTTTCCGGCGACTATGGCTACCGCACCGTGGCCCCAATCCACGCCGCATGAGCGGCGTATGGGCCACGTGGCGGTAGCGATTGTTGGCGGAAAACCGCAAATTAAGTAGCCGGAAGCGCGCAATTGACACATGACTGAGGCTCGGCTGGATATTTTGCGGCTGCCATCTTTGCCGACCGTTAGTTGGAGGATAGCCGTTATCCAATTTGAAGATTTAAAACAAAAATTATGTTTATATGTTTTCGTTTAGCTTTTAGAAACATGTTTTTTAGATAATATTAATTGTATTCTTCTAGCTAAGATGTTAAATACATGCAACAGAGCAGGTGTCACATTCCCCACCACCATGGGCTCTGATTCTCATGCATCCCTGTACCACAATATAATACTACTGCCTGGAAAGACGGTGCTGTCAGATTCAAATCCTCAACAGTGACACAATTTTGTTTTCCATCTAGTAAACATCTTGGGGGGGGGGGGGGGGGGGGGGGAGGGGGGGGGGGGGGGGGGGGGTGGGGGGGGGGGGGGGGGGGGGGGGGGGGGGGGGGGGGTGGGGGGGGGGGGGGGGGGGGGGGGGGGGGTTGGGGGGGGGGGGGGGGGGGGGGGGGGGGGGGTGGGGGGGGGGGGGGGGGGGGGGGGGGGGGGGGGGGGGGGGGGGGGGGGTGGGGTGGGGGGGGGGGGGTGGGGGGGGGGGGGGGGGGGGGGGGGGGGGGGGGGGGGGGGGGGGGGGGGGGCTAATTGAGGATTTGCGAAAATCAGCTTTGACAGACAGAAAGGTGCAGACTTCACAGACCTTTTAAGCATGAATTCAGAAGAATAAGATAAAGGGAGCCACCTTAGGAGATGTTACCTAAAAACCCAACAAATTATGACTACAAAGATAAAAAAGGAAAATAAGTAACAATTAAAAATGTAAGTTAAAGCTCAGAAGATCAACTTCGCTGCATGGGTTTCAACACACATGGCTCTGTATCACTCCTCAGAATGAAAACACAAAGCAAACATTTTGTGATGATCCCCAACGATCTCCATAAAAAATACACATGAAACTAAATGAACTTATAACTTTCAGCGTGTGAAGCAAATGGTTTGACCACTTTGCCACGGAGATCCTCAGAAGGAACAGAACAATAATTCAAACAATCAAGCTAAAAGGAGGCTCTACCCCCAAGGAGAAATATTATGTAGCAGGTCCTTTGCAGAACATCACCCACAACAGAACACAACTGAAAGGAACTTAGTTTCTTGCCAAATGTCCTACCTTGTGCACTTTCCCACCCAACATGTCACATATATCTTGTGTCCATCTTCGTGCTGGTCGGAACAGTCCGTCATTCCTGACACCATGCTTTCTGCTATGAAACTTTCCAATCCGCTGTGACGCTTGATATGGCCAAAATACTTTGTTTTCAATACAAAAATATTGTTTACAAGCCAATTTTCCTTGATGTCCAGATCTTTTAGGTTGTTTGTGTTTCTGAGAACCTTTCAATAGCATTTCTGTTCAAAAACCCCAGTTTATAAGTGAAATAGAAGGAAGTTTAAAAAGAAATAGAGAAGAGAATTATAAGAAAAGTTATTATGAGGACACAAGGAGAAAACAAATGACAGCATAGCTTGGCTTTAGTTGACTGAGGACATCTGAAGAAGATGAAGAAGAAAGAAGAAGATGCAGAGACAGATGAAGAAGAGGAGAATGACAAAATGCCATGACAAATAAAGATAAACAATAATCTGTTTATGATAAATATACAAACAGAACATACGTGAAGTGCTGCTCAGTGTACGTTTGAGCATAGCTGTACAAGTCCTGGCAAGCGTGAAGATCTGCAAAATCTCTGATGCCGAGGCTGTTTGACGGGTGCAGCTGGGCTTGCAGAAACTCACAACATGCATCCCGAACTTCGGAGATTTGTAGAATATTAGCTGCTGGCAAAAGGGTCTGGTCAGAAAAAGAATAAAAAATCATATGAAAGAGTGTGTCAAAGGTTACATTACAAATTTTTTTAAATTCTAGAACTTTCCAAGAGTTACCTGTGCAAATTTTGCTCTTCTTTTTCTTCTTCTGCTTGGCACATTGAATTGTGGTTTACAACTAGGCTGCAATATCTGCATCTTTTGGTTGATTATGAATGTTGTATAAAGTGGCTAATAAATGATTTGCTGAAATAGGATATGCTGGGTCAAAAAGATAAGATATCACAGCCTATTTATAATCCACAACTGCCCTTAAGGCCAAATGCAGGGAAGCTGCCAAGAGACACGTGGATATACTTATTTCAGTACAGTGTTGAGGCTTTCTTCAACTTACAAAAATGTGGCCCAACAGATTTCTCCAGGAAAGCAATGACAACAACCACCCACATCATTCCTAAACTGTCACTCCATAGTTAAGTATATGAGCTTAACTGATTCTTTTCGGTTATGTTATACATCAGTGGTTCTCAACCTTCCTAATGCCGTGACCCTTTAATACAGTTCCTCACGTTGTAGCGACCCTTGAATACAGCTCCTGACGTTGTGGGGACCCGCAACCATACCATTATTTTTGTCGCTACTTCATAACTTCAATGAATGTGTGTTTTGCGATGGTCTTTGGCGACCCCCGTGAAAGGATGTTCGACCCCCCCCCCCAAAAAAGAGTTGTGACTCATACGTTGAGAACCGCTGTTATATATGATTGGTTACCGTGTGTGTCTTTAGCCTTAGGTCTTGTACACTGCTGAGAATTTCTGCGGCAGTTGCTGGTTTTACTGATGCTGTTCTTCTTCTTCTCTAAATTCACTGGTTGTTAACTCCAGTCGAAACTTCTAGCCCGTGCACATCCATTCAACAGACCTGGCTTATTTGTTGGTTTCTCGCCTCCCAGGCAGATGCATTCCAACTTTGAAGGAAACCTCCTTAATTAGTCAATTTTACAACATCCTTGTTAACAGGCAGTGTGTCTACTCTTATCTCCCCCCACAATGAGGCCCGGAACCCACAGGGGTGTTCACATGTAATTAATATGTGTGTGTGTGCGTAAATATATATATATATAAATATATATATATATATTTATATTAGGGCTGTACCAGATATTAGCTTCGGGGCCAAATAGTGGTCCTATTAACTATTCGGTATTAGGCCGAATAGTTGTGGTCGGGCAGAATACGAATAGTGGTTACCTTACACCTGTTTCTGGACTGGTGGAAAATAATCATATCAAGATTTTCCACCTTGGTTCATACTGTCCAGCAACACCTACGAGCGTACCAAGAGAACGTCTGCTTAGTACAGCTGGAAATATCTTCAGTGATGCCTTAATGTGACATCATGGAACAAAGTTTTTTTTTTTGAAAGCTAATGCCGCTATCATGGATTAGCTAAGCTGTCAGTGACAGTTTACAGGTTTAGTTACTTGCTGTAAAACTAAGAATATTTTTATTCCTATTTATTAGTTATCACAGACAGACTGACTGAAGGATGCAAAACATGAAATGTTTTTAAATGTTTACTATTCTGTACTACACTTTGTGAAGTAAAATTTGAGTGTAGATTTGGCATTATGGATATTTTTTTTTTTTAGATCTATTTTATACACTTTTTGAAAGTGGAAGAATGGGCCTCAGTTTGAATAGTGGGAAGACAGAAGTAATGGTGGCATAAAAAAAAATAATTATTCCTAGATGTGTAATAAAAGTCAAAGGTTTTCTTTTGGGACAAGTACAGAAATTTGAGTATCTGGGCACATATATAACATCAGATGAAAGATGCATTACTGAAATAAGAAACAGAATAGGACAGGCAAAAACTGCATTTTAAAAAATGAAGAACATCTTATGCAATATATCTTTGTCATTGAAGGTTAGAAAAAGAATTCTTGCTTGCTACATACATCCAGTTTTAACATTTGCTGTGAGTCCTGGACAATCGGTAGGCAGGCCTAACAATTTTTTGAGGCCTCAGAGATGTGGTTTTACAGAACAATGCTTAAAATACCTAGGACAGCCAAAAAGAGCAACCAAGAGGTTTTGAAAGAGGCGGGAGCCCGAAGACAACTACTCACAGACAGCAAAAGGACATAGTCATCAGTTTTCGGCCATATTATAAGATGAGGGAAAATGGAACATGTGGTGACCACTGGAAAGATCTGTGGAAGGAGGGACAGAGGAAGACAACGAGAGAAGATTCTTGACAGTCTTGTGGAGGTGTGTCAGCACACGAACTGATACATGCTGCAGAAGATCGCAGATTGTGGCAAGGCATAATCGCCCATGCCAGTCTGCAAAACACCTGATGATGATGATTCACTATTCGTATTCGGTCGAATAGTTGGTCTAGCTATTCGTATTCGGCCGAATAGTGAAAATCACTATTCGGTACAGCCCTTATATATATATATATATATAAGGGCTGTACCGAATAGTAAATATATATATATATAATAAACGTTACATTTTTGGGTGCCTATTTACTCATAATAGGAGCCGCCGTGGTGAATCGGCTAGATGCTCACCTGGGGATCCAAAAGTCATGGGTTTAGGCCCTAACAGAGCCTGACTTTAAAAAATTGCCATAGCTCCTATGTTGGCCCAGCCTGAAATGGGTTCGAAATGAAATCCTAGGAAGCAAAGACGGCCAGCAGCGATGCTAACCACATCGCCTACCAGGTGCCCATTAGTCTATAAAATGTAGGTCTGGCCCTATATGCCCAATGCGCCTGAAGATGTGGAAAAGGGTCCTACACTGTGTTATATGAATTTCACTTTCATTTATGAATCTTAACCTTTTTACTCCAGAATGCTAACATGAAATAAAAAAGTGAACACATGGAAATTTATTTTTAAAAAAGAAGTATTTTATACAGGTAACTAATAAATTGTTAAGAAACTTATTTATCTACAAGTTCTGAATTTTTCTTTTGGAATAAATAAAGATCTATGAAGGAAATAATAAATAAACAAGAACAGAGTTAAGCGTTAAATGGAATGCATTCCTCTGCGCCTTAAACAAACATGTCCTGGGTGGCTCATGTTGTGAACCTCTGACCTCTTTCATAGAGGTTTACAGGAAGATTTTAAGTCACCGGGGCTTTAAAAACACTACTGCACTCACGAAGACACCCACCTAAATGATACATTTTAATTTATCCACATTCAGGCCACTTAAACACTATGCAGGTGCACATAGAACCAATGGCATTTAACTACACTTTTTAGAGATTAGATCACTGCAGTAACAGAGATATGCTGGCATTTACGGATGTCTGTCATGACCGGAAGAGACCAGCTCTAGCCTTCTCTGGACGACAGAGTTAAAACATTAAAACAGCCAGACTTTTACCTGAACATTATCCTCTGTGACATGAATTTCCGAGGTATATACAAATTCAACGAGCAATGAGAGAGCCGAGGGGTCAATTTCCTTGAGGGTAATTCTAGCAGCCTTGGACTCTGACATCTCATTGGTGAACATGGCATAGAAATATTGACTGCAGGCCGCCAGCACCGATTTGTGGCAGTGCAGTTCCTGGCTGCCAGCCACCAGGCAGATATCACAGAGCAGCCCCCTCCTGTCACAATAAGAAATACATTAAAATTTAAGGTCAGAAGGTCTGAACTTCATTGCACTGAGTTTTACGCCATCAGGCTCGGTCTCTCTATCTGTAGATTGCTTAGCAGCCGAGTGCATCACACAAAGCATGAACCCTGAAGTTCCAGCTAAATCCCCAGACCTATTAAAAACTGCACTCGTGAAATGAATGTGTCTGTAAAAGAACCATGACCTCCAGAGAGCAAGGCTAATGGCTCGACCACTTGACCATGGAAACCTACAAAAATTTTTTTAAAACCACAATCCTTAGTGTTGCTTGACCTAAATCAGGGAGATAATAGACTGTGTCAAAGTGGTAGACTGCAACCAGAATTTCATGATGGTTTAACATATGATGAGAATTTCAAAAGGGCTCTTGGAATATATGGAATGAAGGAGTTTCTTGCCAATCAAGGCATAACTCAGTCACCATTAGTTTCTAATTTATTGTTTGAAAAGTGAGCAATTCAAAGTAATCTGGTTCGTGATAATAATTAATTAGAACAAAGAAGAATTAAATAATAGAATGCACAATTTATTGCCTGGCATATTGTGCTGTATCTTATCATGTGCATACTACAGTAATAACTGATTAAAGGGAATGCAGAAAAAATCAATCCTTCAGGATTCGGCCCATAGCCATCAAATGAATAAGCCTGTTATAAAAAAAATTAAGTTTATGCAGCTCTAAGCAAATATTTGATTTTTGATTCATGCCTTTTCATTTGGAAGCAACAGCAGCTTGAGACTCACCTGTTCTTAGTTCAAACCCATGTCCAGGTAGGTTTTTTTCTTCTTTAAAATGGCCTTGGCTTCCATAATGACCCAAGCCCCAGAATGGGTACAATATAATGACCTTTGAAGTAAATGTGCCGTGCCAGCATGATGGCGACCACATCAACTATATAGAACCTAGTTTAAAAAAAAAAAATAGGACTCTTGCATCAAATTCTCAATGCATCATTGGTGTAAAAAAAAAGAGTCCTTTACTTTACCTACCTTCTCATTTCATTCAAGGATTCAAAGGCCTTATGTGAGTGTTGTGCATGCCTGTATGCTGGTCTTTCCCTTCCACACAGAATCTTTGGTTTCACATCCAAACCTGACATTTTGAGTCTGGTGGATGAATATGTTGCAGATGACGGTAGGAAGTCAGATGAGTTTTCAGCTTTTCCACTCATTTTTCTGGTTGTAAATTGTCACTCTATCTGCTTGGACAAAATATACAAATCAAGTTTAAAGTTTGAGCTAATACGTTTGATTTAATTGCACCAGGTTTTACTCCACATGACTTGGTCTTTCTCCACAGAATGGCTAGCTCCCTGCTGAGAGTTCTGCACAAAGCATGAACTCTGTAGCTCCAGCAAACACTGGCAAACTACACTACAAAGTCTGTTAACCTACAACCTTCAGAGTGCAATGCAGAGGCTTAACCACCTAGCCACAAGATCGTCATGTGTACAGATAACAGTAAAATAAAGAGACTCCATATTTACCACCTTTTAGGGCCGAAGAACGATCTTTTTTTAGTACCAAGGAACACATATGTTCACATGTTCCTACCTTGAAGCCCAATGAATACAAGATGTGCCGAATCAAACCTTTCTCTTTACCACCCATTGGGCTTCTGATGCCGAACCCCCTGGGACTGAAAGAGTTGAAAACAATGAGCTCTCCTGAGCTGAGGGAGGCTCAGGTTAAATCCTTGGTAAGGTCAAGGATTTTTTTTTTTTGGGGGGGGGGGGGAGGAAGGGGGCAAGCTAAATATAAAATTCTAACCTGTAGTCTGTGGCCTCAGCCCTAGCCATGTGGTCCTAGATCCTCTGTAAGGGTCACAAACATTTATCTTTCAGGTCAAAAATAAATCCTTATCTGCACCGGTGACAGCAGCAGGCATGGGGCTCTAAATCCTCTGAAAGGTCACATATTTTTATCTGTCAGGTCTAAATCCTAACCTGCACCGTCCATGCAGCCCTAAATCCTCTGTAAGGTCACAGATTTATATCTGTCAGGTCTAAACTCTAACCTGCGCCGTCCATGCAACAATATGCAGCCCTAAATCCTCAGTAAAGTCACAGATTTTTGTCAGGTCTAAATCCTAACCTGCACCGTCCATGCAACAATATGCAGCCCTAAATCCTCAGTAAAGTCACAGATTTGTGTCAGGTCTAAACCCTAACCTGCACCGTCATTGTGACAACATGCAGCCCTAACTCCTCAGACCCCCTGCCTACACAACAAATAGTGTCAAAATGGACACTAGGCGGGCCACTGTTTTGGAGCCGAGGCAAATTTTTTGCTTCTGCCGGACGGTGGCCGATGCATTTTTGTTCCATTTGTAGACTGGATAGTTTCGTCGCCCAGCTTCTGAGTTGAATGCATGGCGTGACACTGTGAGCTGCGGATTTCATTTGGAATGTTTTTTCGACTGTGACCAACCTGGTGGTGTGAACTGTAGATTCAGAAAATGGCGACATGCCTGTTGTCGCAATTTTTGTGGTGCCCGTAAATGATTAAAATTAAACGCGTGGGCTACTGCAGATCTGTTGGTGACTTCTGCTACCATCAATGATGAACTGCATTTCTAATGTCGGACTGTTTGTGTTAGCACTTCGGATGGCTACCATATGCTTTAATGCGAGTGTATGCTAGATATTTTGAGACAGCAGTCTGTCAATCCTTTCACAAGGGACTGTGATAAACATTCTGTGTGTTTTTCTTTGGCACGGGAGCGGAGCAAAGATGGGGTGACCCATTTGCTATGAAGATGAAACTAGATCTACCAGACCAGACAACAAATAGTGGTAAATACAGGCAGTATTTGGCAGTATGACTGAAAAAAATGGGGGGGGGGGGGGTATCTTTGAACATGAGAATGTTGTGATGAAGTGAACAGTGCAAAGAACAGATACAGCATTCATTCCTTAAGAGACTGATATAATGGTTCCGGTGGAGGGGGGATTTTTTTTAAACCCCATCTTTGGGCTTTAGAGATTTTGAGGGGAATTTCCGTAAAAGTCCAATATTATGCGTAAGGGGATGTAGGGTTAGCCTTCTTAGTCGGTGTTCATTTCACATCTTAACACCCCTATAATACTGGACTTTTCCAGGAATTCCCCATGAAATCTAGGAGACCCCAAGATAGGGTGAAATAAAAGAAAAGAACCGAGTGGGGAGTGAGCAGAGGACTGGACTATTTTCAATATGCAGGAAATAAGACAGGTGGATATTTAATCATCCTGCAAACTGGCACCATCGGTATAAGAACTCTTCAGTGACTTCTGAGGAAGGGGACACAGCATGTTAGGATTATACAATCCTCAAAAATGTATCCACCGAACTGTAACGGAAAAGCTCAACAAAGGTGGGTAAGGGGAAAAAAACCCAGACAGGAATAAGCTTCTTGTTGTATGTGTTAATACAAATAAAGGCTGCCACTGAAATATATGTTCACTCCTGTGTGTGTGTGTGTGAGTGTGTTTTCCCCCCATCCATTAACTTTCTTAGTTACAGTTCAGTTGATTAACTTCTTGACACTAGCTTGTCTGCCGTCACTCCTGTTTGTTTAAATCAATCCTCAGAGTGTGTCCTAGCCATCTGAGGCTTTATAGATTGAGCATTTGGGAAAACAAATACAGTTATTAATTTATTCATTATTTTAAATTTATGACTGGGACTGGCCGGAATTAAATCATTCGGCTTTCCTCGGAATTTCTACTCCGGCACTATGGCGGCCGAACAAATATCCTTACAGGGCTCAGTCCTATTAAAAATATGCGAACTTCCGGCGATGAATGAATCGCGGCAAAACTAGGATTACCTGACAATTTTAAGAGACGCAACACTGCAGATGATAGTAGCAGATGATAATAGCGACCATTGACACTTTCGAGCATTTCTGCATACAATACTAGCAGACGATACTAGTGACCATTGACAATTTCGAGTCACGCAACATTACTGACGATAAAAGTGACATGGCAGAGAGACCACGTGCGCCGACGCAGATTAGCGTCGTTGTTGTCCTCAAACTTTTCGGCATACGTAAAACGCGGTTACACTCACCGCCCGCAGTATCACCTGCACCGCTACGCGTGGCATGGAGGATATGGTCGGCGGTGAGGCATAGTCACAGAAACAGGTCCGCAATTAACATATCGCTGAGACCCTGTTAAGGCATTTGTTTCGTTATATGGATCCGATCCTAGTTTTGCTGCGATTCGTTCGTCAGCGGAAGTTCGCATATTTTTAACAAGACTGAGCCCTGTAAGGATATTTGTTGGGCCGCCATTATGCGGGGGTAGAAGTTCGGAGGAGAGCCAATCATTCTGGGTTTTTTGTATTCTGTCTTATTGTGCTTCTATCTGTCTTACACGACAGTAACAGTTATACTGTCAATTACACTATTTGATGTCTTAGAAACAGGAAAAACTTTTATAGAAAATATACTCAGTTCAATCTTTCAATCACACATATAAACACTGAATCAGTGATTCAATCACTGAGTCTGAATGACTCAAGAAACAGTCAGATTGGATTTCTTATATTAAGTTAAATCAGCATACCTTTGCCCCCCTCCCCCCTCAAAAAAAAAAAAACAAGACGCATAAACAAGTTCAATATCCATAGATATTATCGTGTAATATATACACACTTACTTATGTGAAAGGCGACTTCATTTATAATTATAATAATCTCTATCTATTGACTTCTTTATTTTCCAGCGAACTTTTTTTTTAATGTTGATCTAACTTATCTAAGATACTTTTGTCATTCTCATTTCATAACCGTGCTGTTAAAAAAGCCATTAACGTTTGGCTTATCCTATAAAAGTTAACGAATAAGTCGAAAATAATATATGTTCAGATGTTCTTGGCGAAACAGACTGAGTTTGAACCAATTCAGTTGTTGACGATGACAGACATCACAACAAACAGCTAGGCCCGAGGCCTACAGGAACAGGAACCAGATATCCTTCTTACAGCGCATGCGTCAGATGAGAAGAATTGTTCGTGCGAAAGCAATGAGAAACAAGTTCGCAGTTTAATAATGTTGGATCGCTGTGTGGGTTCAATGATCCCATTGTGGTGAAAACAAAAATAGACCCACTGCCTGCCCAAAAGCATGTCGTATGAGTCGACTAAGAAGTGAGAGCTTCCTTTGAAATCTGTATCTGCCTGAGAGGCAAGGAACCAACAATCTGCATACAAATGAGTCAGATCTGTAAAATGGATGTGCATGCAGAACTCAGGTTCTGGAAGAAGACTGCAGTCCAGAAATGGACGAAAAACCAGAAATATCAACTGGAGTTTACAGCCGATGAACGCAAAGAGTATAATGTTGATGAGGATTTGCCAGATATGGGTCACAATTTGAATGTTAAATGAAGAATCAACATCATAGCTCTCGGGTCACTTCCATCTTTAGCAGCAAACGAAAAATTCCAACTCCGATGGCACCAGTAAATGTCTTATTGTAAATCCTTCTCGTCTTTCCCTTGAGTATTGTGCATCGGCCAGATCTCCTTGTAACGATCTAATTGCGCTTGAGTACAATTCATTCGCTCCCAGAGGGCCCTCACAACGTCTAGCTTGTCATACATCAGTTCACCATCAAGTGGTGCAGAACCGACCAGTCTACTGCCTGCTCATTTCTCAAAACACCGGCATGACCTGAAGGGAATATCCAAAAGAGGCTAACTACCCGGGACCACTGAAGTGATGCTTGCCGCTCTGCACGGGTCAGAATTTCAGAGAATAAAACAATTTCTAAGTATATATTGTGCGTTTGTTGTTTGGCGGAAAGATTCAGTGCTAAAAATATTAAAAACATGGACACATATAAGAAGGAATGAGAAGAAGGAACGAGCTTTATTTTCAAAGGGTCACAAATTAGGCACGCAGGCCCGTCTTACATTCCGAACACCCATCTTTCAAACAGCAATTGTATTTTATCACTACAGTATATTGTGTTTAAATAACAATATGCATAATATGGACATCAAGGAAAAAACACAAAAGCATGGATGCTGAATCATCATCATCTGGTTAGGAGATTTGTGACAATCTCTTGTACCTATGTAAGCTGTGAAGCGCTGTGAAGCAACTTTAGTCTTGTGTTGAACCTTCTACTTAGTGACTGTGGAAAGGAGAAGCTGAAGTTCAGCCTAGATCCTGTTCGG